TTTTTTTATTTCTTTTCTATGTTTGTGATTTAATTTTGGATATAAATCACAAATATATTTATTATTTACCATTTTTTATTACTGTGTGCCTTCAAGTACAGATAATAACTAGTCTATATAATAAAGTAAAAGAATTGAAGACATAAAAAATGACTTTTATTTTTTACGGTTGAGATTGTTTTAAATTTTACTTTAAAGTTAAATCGAATGTTAATATTAACTTCTCAAATTTAATAAGAAAAATAGATCTCTAAAGGGTACAGTTGGAGTGACTTTTCATAAGTAGTTATAGAACTTATGATTTCTCATAAGCATTTTTTTTTTTAAAAAATAGTGTTTGGAACAATTTATTTTAATTACTTCAAAATTAAATAAGTAAATAAATAAAAATAAAAATAACTTCTACTTCTTTAAAATTACTTCTTTACAAAACACTTCACAACCACGATCACTGCCGCCAGCCTACCACCACCATCATCACCCCATCACTACCTTTGTCACAACCACCACCACCATCACCCACCACCACAACCACCACCGATTGCTACCACTGTCACCATCATTATCTCATTCTTATAGTTATTACCATTATCACCATCATTCCACCACCACCGTCACCCACCACCACCATCGTTAGTCACCACCATTTACTGCCACCCACTACCACAACCGAATACCACCCGTCGGCGCCCACCGCCGTCCCCACCCACCATAACTACTCGTTATCATCCACCACCATCGTCAGTCACTGTCACTCATCCCCCACCACACCTACCACTCTCTTCACCATTTGCCACTACCCACCACCACCATCACCATCACCCAAACACTCATCGTTGTCCACCACCACTGCCATTGTCTCCACCCACCACAACTGACTTGAAGCAAAAGAGAAGTCATACAAAAAAAGGTTCTTTCATGCAATTCGTAAGGGGTGGCGCCTCCTATGGATTCATCCAACTCCATGAATAAATGCAGGAGTATGAGGAAGTCGACTTTCTATATGAAGATTCAAACAAAAAGAAAAAATAATCATATTTTATTAAATAATCTGACTGAATGAGGAAGAGCTCTTTATGTGGTCTCACTTTACGACCATCTGAAATACGCAAAACTTCGATTATCGTCGTCACCCCACCACCACAATTGCCAACCACCATAACTGTTGCCCACCACCATCATCATTAACCATGGTTGCCTCTGCCACCATCGTCACCCAAAACCCACCCCCATAATCACTATTGTCGCCTACGACTACTACTACCACTACAGTCGTCGTCACTTACTATAACCATCAACGTCTCCCACCACCACTACCACCACTTACTCTCATTATTATCGGTGCTTAAATTTATTTTTTCCTCTTTTATGACTGACAATTTTTTTTTTTATTAATTACCTTCAGTTACGAGTAATAACTAGTACTCCAATATCTAAACAAATACTTGCAGTACATGAAGTCACAAGAAACACACCCAAATTTCTACCGTTTTATTGTTTTTCTACGTTTGAATAGCCAAAAATAGAGAAAGTATGTTGTCATATTTTTTTTATCACAGAACTAAACCCCCTTCTACTCCCTTTTAGACGTTCAGGAATAAAAGATTACTCCCAAGTAAGCTGGTTACAAGTAAGCCAGAGCCCCCTTAGCTGGGTGTGAGTCTTGCAGTTCAAATTCCAACAACTTCGAATCAAAACTCATCATCACCGTTGTGTAGTGCACTACATCCTATTGTTGAAACAAAAAACCTAGCATCGATATATTACCAGAGTCAAAAAATCGAAGCAAAAGATATATGTTTGTTTCGGCATTTTGTCGATACAAATAGTCACTTTTTGCTTCAACAAAATGTTGAAGCAAATACTCTTTATAGACACAAAAATGGCTACGTGTCTCGGTATTTTCCCAAAACAAATACATTTTTTCAAATAAAAAAATAAATTTTATTTACAATAATATTTTCTCTAGACAAACATACACATCTAATAAACTAATTAGATATAAAAATAATTTACAAGACAACACAAAAGTAATAAAATAAAAATATTTTAATATTAATGGGAAAAAAATCCTTATAAGTACCTGATAGACGAGGTTTTCATAACTACAAAAAATTAAAAAAAAAAAAAAATTCCTATTGAAAGTATCAATACATGATTGAACAAAATAATTCCCAATGCATACACAAAAAAAAATTCTCCCCCAATACACCATCCACACTCTGTCTGCTATATAAAATATAATTAATCAGTCTGGGAGACTAAAAATAAAAAATAAAACATAATCTAAAAAATCTCAACCTAAACACAACTTAATAGTGACCAATAATTGTAACATTTAAAATTAAAGATGGTAACATTGAATATAATAAGGATGTAAACAGTAATAATTCACAGTATACATAACTATATCTAACATTTTTTTGTTTAGCACTAAAACTAAAGTTAGCAACAGTGAACACAACCAATTGTTTAGCAATAATTCACATTATACATAACAACAGTGAACACAACCAATTGTTTCCCAACTTCCGAAAATGAATAGTCAAAAAAATTGACAAATAATTTAATTTTCCAATCCTACCCTTAAAGATAAATTAAGATAGAGACGACAAACTAAATGAATGAATGGATAAGAAATGAACAGACAAGAGAAGGTAAGCACAAAAAAATCAATTTCAAGAAATATTTCACATTTGCATAGATTTTTTTCCAAAATCCAAAATAAAGGCATCATCTGGCAACACCAATTAACTTCGGTTTTGCTGGCGGTTTTGAAGCCGTCGGAGGTGTATTCGGACACCCCCATCATGGTATCGTGGTTCGACTCTACAACTATTTTTGGCTTCAAAACCGTCTTAAATTTGAGTTGAAATTTAAATTTTAGTAAAATCAGATATAGAAAAAATTTAAATGTATAAAATTTCATTCAAATTCGTGCCAGACATGATAACTATTTTTCAAACTTGATGGCCGAGCCCAAGGCGTAACCCAGATAGTAGGTCCGGCCCAGGTAAGGCCCAACTCAAATAGTGGGCCCGATTCAACCAAAACCCAGTGGGTCTGACCTAGAAGAGACCCAAATCAAGTCAGGCTCACCAAAGCCCATGACAGTCACGCCATCCTAGAATGAGAAGGTCTGCCACGCTATCCTGGGGCTGGGTCTCGAGAAAATCTCCACGTCCTCTTAGCAACTGCCTCAACTATTGCGAGGATGGCGCCCACTCCACCAAATCAGTCTTTCTGTTACTAATAAGGCATGTTAATTTGTTAAGAGACGCCTATAAATTGTAAGTCCTACCTATACATGGGGGCATATCTCACATCTTGTACCTCGTCTGTTACTCACACTTGACTACTCAACACACTTTGAAGCAATAAAACACCTAGACCATCTTAATCCTTCATAGTGGAATTGGTCACTTTAACTGAATCACTTAAATTGTGTTTTACTTGTATTGACTCTCTTCTTATTTATTCACTGCATTAATTACTTGACAGGTTGTGCATAAAATTAATTTGTGCGTCATCAGTTTGGCACCGTCTGTGGGAGTGACTAAATTTTCTATTGTCTTTCTATTTCTTCCTACTTTTTTTCCATTTTATGGCTATTACGACTAGGTCCATGAATCAACAAACAGAAGAGAACGATCCACCAAGTCGAGAAAAGGTCCTATCTCTACTAGCAAACCACGTTGTTGCTGGTAAATCCCATAGCCAGACAGCAACTACTAAAGACATTGTAGCTGTTGGTGAACCAAAACCAACATATCCTCTAGTTAATACTCGTTGGAAACCCTCAAGGAGTTGTGCCCCAGCCCCTAGGAGGAGAACCACCCCCAGGCAATCTGCCCAAGGTGCCAAGGCGCACCTTAGTAGGGCCCCAAACGCTAAGGCACTCAACACTAGGGCGCCCCTTGCAGTGCTAGGGCATCGTCCAGCATCAAGGCATCCCTCCAAAACGCCCAGGCACCCAGCACCAGGCCGCCCCCTTGCAGCACCAGGGCATTTCTCCTCAATGCCCATTCACCCAAGCTCTTTCTCCTTATATTCCGACTCCATCCTCCAGCGCTGGTGACCATCCTATGCACGAAAATGAGGGAAAAATCAGTACATGGACCATTAAAGCCATTACAATGGTCCTTTAGAGGGCGTCTCTTAACCAGCAGGACGAAAAAATCAATGAGGTGTAAAATCAGTTAGGCGACGTCTTCAATGCCATCAAGACGCGGGCACCATAAACAGTCGACTACCTTGTGAGGTGCACTGAAACTCCTTTTCGTAGCTGATGTGGTCAACTACCCACTTCCCCAAAGTTCAAGATGCAAACCGTGAAATCTTTTGATGGCTCCAAAGATCCACGACCGCAACCGCGACCTCGCCAGCTCCTGCACCCCTACTTGCGCTTGCCCGTGCCAGCCCCAGCACACCAATGCCAGAGGTGCCTGCAACACCCACACTCGCAACGTTCGCGCCTGCCTCACCAGCAGAGCCTGTTGTTGCCGTTGTTAGAACGGAAATTACAAGAGCCGTTGACAACGCATATGTATCAAATATCAAAAATTTTCCTTTAAAACCCTACAAGACAAAATTAGGGTTTACCTTCAAGATCCCTTGGGATTGATCTCGTTTCAGCACAAACGCATAATAGAACAATTACTACAACTCGACGAATCTCGCAACCTTCTATTGTGTATCCCTCAACGTCAAAATTCAGATGTAGTATGGGCTACCAAGACCTCCAAATCTTTGTTCTCTCTTTCAGCCTCCCTAAAAAACGTGAGTAAAAATAGGATGTTGAATTACATAACCTAGACATCTATTTATAAGCTACGACAGAGGCTCTAAGAAAAAATAAGGACCGGGCTCCCAAAGGGCTTAGGATTCCTATGGTCAACCCAAAATAAATATTTTACAGCCCATTAATAATAAGTCAGTCCACTAAAGACTTATTATTGATGTCATGAGTCTTATCTCAAANTTCTTTCAGAGTTCAATGGTTCGGTTTGACTGGGTTGAGGGTGGATAAGTTGGTGAGTCTTTGATATTTCGTAGGCCTTGTCACGGTTTATGCTTAGATACTCACCCATCTTATCCATAGCTTCCCACGAATCAATCAAACATTTATACTTTATTGGAGGAGGGATTCGAGTTGAGATGGTATCCCTATTATAGTGACCTCTTGGATTAGCCAACATTTGTTTCTCATTTCATTTTCACCAAAACACACTTCACCAAACAACTTTCAGCAACAAAAGGTTTGACACTTTCTTTCACCCAAAAATCATCTTCCCTTTGGTTCACATCCTTCCCCATGGAAACGACCTTGGAGTACCTCCAAGTAAAACACGATGCACAAAAATCTCCTTGCGCTTGGGGAGCATTTTTGTTCATACACATAACACATTTCCACCATCCCATTTTCCCATCTCCTTGCCCTTTCTTTTGACACTACTTAAAGGGAGAGTGACATTTCCCTCCATCCATATAAAATACGTTTTGAGGGATGATATTTAGGGGTTAGGGATAACAAGGAAAATAACCAAGCATTGCACCCTGACAATAAGAATCTCGTCTGGATGATTGAACACCGTATTGTTAATTTTGAGTCTAAATGGTAATAAAGGTGTCTAAGCAATAAAAACTTTTGAGAATTACATCTTTGAAGCTCACGTTTGGACAATAATGGTTGCGTCTAGACGGTCCTAATCCATATTTGATTTTGACTTTGTCCTTGAGAAGTCAGCAATTCCATCTTCAATGATTGCATCCAGATGGTGAAAGTTGTATCTGGACGGTGCTATTTATCTAGCCTTCCTTGGGTTCTGGACTCCAATGTTCGTATAATCCATGGGTATCCACTTTGATTCAAATCTCAACCCATGTTCCAAATAATAGTTTTTCCCTCCTGAGTCCAATTTGCTCCTTCTTAGCAATTGATTCACCTTGTGTATCCAATTTACCTATTTTATTTGGGAAATAAATAAATTACTAAAAAAGTTAAGTTGAAAACCCAACAGTCAACCATATATAAGCTCAAGTAATTAATGTGCAATTAGCTATATATTAAATATAATAAAACATCACTTTTAATGGCTAATCACACCCTCAACTTGAATATGACTAGTCTTTAGTAATACTTGTTGGAACGGAAATCCCAAGAATCATTGACAATGTGTATGTATAAAATACTAAAATTTTTTCTTTAAAACCCTACAAGGTGGAATTAGGGTTTACCTTCGAGATCGCTCTAAATTGATCTCGTCTCAGCATGAACGTAGAACCTAACAACAAAGGTGAAAGACAGCTTGACGAACCTTGTGGTCTTCTGTCGTATATCCCCCAACGTTAAAATCCAGATGCAGTATAGGCTGCCAGAACCTCCAAAATTCTGCTCTCTTTCAGCCTCTCTAAAAAACATGATTAAAGAATAATTTCTAATTTAGAGAGCCTACACGTCTATATATACTATATATAGGCTACGACAGAAACCCTAAGGAGAAATAAGGACCAGGTTTCCAATGGGTCTAGGATTCCTATGTTCAACCCAGAACAAACATCCTACAGCCCATTAATAATAAGTCAGTCCACTCAAAACTTATTATTGATCTCCCGAACCTTATCTCAAAATTATATTCAAGCTCCTTATTATTATATGCTTAATAATCTCCCCCATGTTTAAGATTACAGATGTCCATCAATTAAACAAATTACTTACAATTATATTTAATTGACTTCTTTTATTCCTTGAGACCTTACCAGTTAACTTATTTGTCATGTCGAATAATTAAATCCACCTGCAGGGTTTGACATGGACAAAACTTATGAGCTTCCTTAAGAGGAGATCATCAACCCATTTAAATACTATAACGTGGTTTCATTTAATAATTAATTTCTACCACACAAATAACATCGTCTCCCAATTCATCATGCTTATTAACTCAATATGAATCTCATTCTTTGATGAATTAAAGTGACAAACATTATATGCACGTGGNACTCAATATCAATCTCACTTTTTGGTGAATTAAAGTGACAAACATTATATGCACCCGAGAATTAAATATTTAGGGATTAAAACTATAATTAATCATAATAATTATGAGATATTTATTATCTTATTAAATCAGTAAAAGATAATAATCTCAACATGGATCTATTCAATACACAAAGTATACTAGTGCAATAATCCGAAACATCAAACAATCTCATATAGTCAAGACAGACTATGTCAAAATATTACACTACAATCATACCGATGGCGTGTCCAATTCCATCTACGATTGTGAATATATACTCATATTATACAAAAATCCGATAATCTAATCTTCTGTGCATAAGTCAAACTTTACACACCAGATTATGTACAATGTAAAATATAATACACACATGCATATCATATATAAAATATAATACAAACATTTCCCCCATATAGATGCTCAATAAAATAGAAAGAACAAACTTTTATTAATTGATAAATGAGTTTTAGTACAAAAAGTAAACTTTTAGTATACTACTTTATTAGCTGCTACCACTGCTCCCACCGCCTCAGCGCCCGCTACCCAAGCAGTCTGCCTCATCACCGACACCCGCCAGGCACTTGCTGCCCAAGCCGCCTACCTCCTTGTCGACGTTTGCTTGGCGCCTGTTGCTCAGGTGCAAGTTGCCTGCCTCCTCGCCAATGCCGAAAGCCTCTTGCAATTCCATTCTCCCTGTTTCGCCACCCGCCAACTGTCTCTTGCCACCCTGCTCAAGGACAGCCCCATCGCCCTCTATCTGCTTGCCACCACTCCTTGACATCTCTCCAAAGATTTCTCTCTGAAGGTTAGATGGAATGGAAAGAAAAGAAAGGCCCCTATTTATAGCCTAGGTTTCGAGTCCTAATCAAAATGAATTTGACAGTGATAGATTGGGATGGGGGGGTTTCCTAATCAAAAGTGGATGACTTAGAGGGATAAGCCATATCAAAAAGGAAAAGACCATCAGTCAAGAAGAGTCCTCGTCAACCAAAATTCAAACTCAACCAATGTCTTCTCCTCCAAATCTTATTGGACTCAAGGCATGGGAGGGCAAATGATGGGCTCGACCCAAACATGGCCCATCTCAAGTAATGGGCCCGACTTAGAAAAGGTCCAACTCAAATAGTGACCCCTAGCCTGAACAAAGCCCAGCTCAAGTAATGGGTCGGCCCAGTTGAAATCCAATTTGGTTCACCACAGAGTCAAGGGAGCATAGTTAGCCGCGCCATCGTAGGGTTGAGGCATGTCATCCTATAGTCTCAGCCACGTCATCTTGAGACCCAGTCTGCAATTGACAAAGAGATCTCCACGGCATCTCCACGCAACTATCTCATCTGTAGCGAGAATGATATCACCTCCACCAAATTAGACTATATCTGTTACAGATGTGGCGCTTCTATCTGTTAAGAGGCGGATATAAATTATAAGTCTCACCTACACATAAGNTTTGAGATCAAATTGCCCCTGTTTTCTCTCAAAAGCTATGTCTATGATATTTGTAAAATGAGACTGACTGTTTTATATGTTTTCTAAACCTTGTTCGAGTTTGGGAGGATGTTGCTACAGAGCTTAGTGCTCACCCCCTACAAATAATATATTTTTCAGATTGTGATCTAGAGGAGGAGCTCGGAGTTGAGGAGCCAATTCATTGGGAAGCTCCAATAGATGGGCACGTGGATCCCGAGGTGGACATTTAGAGCTATATTCTTTTATGTCTAGGCTAGGAAATTTATATTGAGACAATGTGAAGTCTAGCATATTTTTTCTATTCTGCTGCAAGATACCACTTAATTCTTTTGGGGATGTAATTGTCATAGTTGGGTATATTCTTTTGGATGCAATGGCCAAGGCTTGACCTATTCTTTTGGATGAATTTGCAAATGTGATGAATGATGAATGAAATTTTCTTGACTTATGGATCATATTAGTTGCTCTCATGATATGAATGGTATTTAGATAGTAATGCCATCCAAGGTGACTTTTGGGGCATTATAGAACCTATACTCATATTATACAAGAATCCGATAATCTGGTCTTTTGCGCGTAAGCCAAACTTTACACACCAGATTATCTATAATGTAAAATATAAGACACATGTATATCATATATTAAATATAATGCAAATATTTTTCCCATATAGATTCTTAATAAAATGAAGAAAACAAACTTCTATTAATTAATAAAATAATTTTTACTACAAACGACAAGCTTTTAGTATACTACTCTATCAATACCTAGATCAAAAATTAAAAATACAAACAAAAANACAAAAAAAAAAAAAAATCATAGCTTATGAACCTGTGGACTTTTATGACGGCCATGATACGAATTAAAACATGTATTGCTCGTTGACTTGAGCGACCACAACGTAATGGCACACGTTCACATAAAATGAGTGTAATGTACGAGGTTACAGTAAAAAAATGTTATGTTTTGAAGGATTCCAGTATTTTTAATCCTAACTTGACCGATTGATCTAGATACAAATTGAATAAAAATTTGGACAAATAACTATTATTCTAGAACATTCATCCTTATTCTATTAAACTCTCTAATACCTTAAAAACATTATTGTTTTTTTTCTTATTTTAAATCAGTTCCATTAGCGAGTAAATCCGCCATAATCTTATATTGACTTTAATAAATGAGTGGTTGAATCCAAAATTTAATGTTTTACGTTCTATTTGGTTGGAATGATATAAAGTATGAATGACGAAAAGTATGAGATATACAATTTCTATTCTTCAAGAAAAAAAAATAACTTTTATTTATTTGTGTTTTGTTGAATGCATAAAAATATAAAAATGATTATTTTACATACATATAATTTGATACACTTTTATTTTTATTTTTTTTAAAAGAATAAATACATATTTTAACATTATATATATATATATAAATCAGATAGCAAGTTGAATCATTATCCTTTATACATTTTCCCCCAAAAAAGTATCACATCATCTAATTTTATTACATGTTCGGTCATTCAATATTTAGTCAATTTGTAGGTTAACACAATTTTTATTTCATATATTATTCATACATAATAGTGTACACATGTTAAAAAAAAATTTATTGAGTTATATATTTTTAGAAAATTTTGACACTATTTTTAAAAAAAATAATAGGTAAAATTAATTTTAAATTATGTAAGCGAATAAATTAATTTTAAATTTGGTATAGTGAGATCAATTTTTTGAACGTTAAAATCTTATATTTCATCGTGCCTTCAGGCATGAGTTATGACTAGTATATATATATAGATATTAAAGAATATATAAATAAATAAGATACATTTCAACACAAATAATTAACTTTTCATCAACTTTTCTTCTAATTTTGGAGGGTTTGATTTTGGTGAGTTAGAAGGAAAGTTCATTTATTAACTTTTTCATTCATCCTATTTTTCTTCCTTACTAAACATGATGTTTTATTTAACCTTCCATTTTTCTACCGTACTAAACGGAGTATTAAAGTATTTTCACATATTTCAACTTATATTTTGAAATAGTTTAATAATAAATTTTAAAATTTTTATCCATTTTTCTTTTATTTTGTGAAATATTTTAATTTTTTAAGTAACCAAAATAATGCAGTAAAAAGATAATGTTTTTCATCGGACACAACGAATTTCTGTTCACGTGACATATGTAAAGAAATCCACCTACTAAGAAATTAAGGGCGGTGACCCAACGTATTTGGTAGGCAAAACCTTTAAGACCACACATGTGCACACGCTGCCCCCAAGTGTAACTTGTTGACGAAATAGGCTTATCTACATTCACTGATGATTGATGCAGATATTTGGATAAATAAAATCGAAATAAGTTAGTTACTGAATCTCATTTAATTTATTTAATTATTTTTTATTGAATATTAATGTCACATGCCATGGTTAACTTAATATCACTGTTATATTAAATATTTTTTCGACCACTTCGATTAGATTTGCTGCGTCAATGACCCTTTTCATGGGCAACTCTTCGAATTGAATCCGACCCCCGGTAGAGAAAACTAAATTATGGATGACCAGTCGTACAGGGCTTCTGTCTATTCCCTTTTTGTTTGATGAGATGGTCAGGGCAGGCATATGGTCAAAGCTATCCACCGCGTTGTGGTTGTGCCCTCACTTTTCTGGTGTGTTCTATTTTAGTTCGGTAGGTAAAGCGTTTATTGATCTAAAAACAAGAAATAAAGAAGAAAGTTCCAAGATGTCCACTAAGCATACAAAACACAATTCCCCAATAGATGCTTTCACAAAACCTGTCTACTAAATCTGCACAATTCGCCCTTTATGTATGGGTAGCCAATGCTATGGAAGAATTGGCCATGGCCAACACAATACCAATTGCAATAAAGATGACAATTTCCTTGCACAGGAGGGTTTTTTCGTGTGTGTGTGTGTGTGTGAAATGCTATAGTTGTTCAACACTGCCTCAAATTTCAAAATCTACCATAAATATTAACAAGTTATAGTTTTTTTTCCCGAAACACAATGAAACAACCATCCAACATATCTTAAACATAAAACTTACTCAATTCTAACGTCCCATGTAGAGGAGTGACTCTGTACCAGATAGGGCATTAGCAGAAATATTCTCCGATGATGATGAAGGAAATGTCATTGCAAATTCATTTGAAATCCCATTCCCCATTAATGCGGCCATACCAATACCTGCATCATCAATAAATACTTCCGAAAACATGGCATCCCCATCCAAATATTGCATCACTTGCCTCATGCTAGGCCTAGACACTGGATTATAGTGCGAGCAAAGTAGGCCCAGCTTCAAAACCAACTCCATTTCTTCCGCCACAAACTCACCTCTCAATCTGGGATCACTAGCCTCAAGGATTGCTCCTTCTTGCCATTTCTCCAAAACCCACTGAACCAGAATTTTATCATCAAATCCATGAACCTTTAGAGGCCTTTGTCCACAAGCCACTTCGAGCATAAACGCCGCGAAAGCAAAGACATCTGTGCTAGTAGTTGCCTTCCCAGTTTTAGCAAGCTCTGGTGCAATATACCCAAAAGTTCCAACCACATGGGTTGTTTTAGGATTTTCACCATGATCATACAATCTAGCAAGCCCGAAATCTCCTAGCCGCCCATTAAAATCAGCATCCAGTAGGACATTACTGGCCTTGACATCTCTGTGAAGAACTACTTTTTCCCACCCTTCATGCAAATACAGAAGGCCTGATGCTATTCCTCTGAGGATTTGATATCGTTGGGCCCAGTTCAGGCTTGGTTTCTCATTGCTGTGCAAAAACTTGTCAAGACTTCCATGGGGCATACAATCATAGACCAAGAGAAGCTCCCCCTTTCTCCGGCAGTAGCCGAGGAGAGCCACCAAGTTCCTGTGCCTGAGCCTTCCCATGCTGGCAATTTCAGCCACAAATTCCCTCATCCCTTGATTTGACTCATGGGAGACTCTCTTCACTGCGACTTGGGCATTGGAAGAAGAAAGTATTCCTCTAAAAACCTGTCCAAAACCTCCTGCTCCTAGAAGCTCTTTGTGGTTGAACCCTTTGGTTGCTTTGTAAAGATCCTTATAGGAGAATCTCTGAGGTCCATATTCCACTTCCCAATCCTCGCGTACCTCTGCATATTTTCTTCTGTGTTTTATGTAAGCAATCCCACCCGTTGTGATGATGAGCACAACCAGTACTACTGCGACCGAGATTGTAACATCTCGAACCAGTGTTCCTTTGGTTATCATAACCCCGGGCACTGGAGGAAGTATTGAGACATCTAGGATTTGTGCTGGCCCAGTTTTGTTGAAGCTCCACCCCAGAATATAGTGATTGCTTCCCGTTAGCTTAGCTGCTCCGGCAGCTGCAGAGAAACCAACATACATATAGTCGAACAAAATTGGAGAAAGATCAATGGACACATTCAAGAGAGGTCGATTTGGTTTCGCGATCCTGACAGGAGCTAATGTAACGACGAGATTCTTTTTCACTCCATCATAATCTATCCAAACCTGAGTTGGAGTTTTACTCGTAAGATCCAAGGTCTTGTTAACCCCTTCTGTATTGGAAAAATATGTGACAGTCACCGATATATTAGATATGAGGCTGTTTATATCGATACCCACATGATTACCATCAATATCATCAAAATCTGGGTTCTTCATAGTATCAAACTCAATTGCAAACACATGGTTCGAAGCGAGGCCGTTGTTGGTAGAATTGAAAATTCCCAGAAACTGGTTTGTCAAACCTCGCTGGGTGAAGGTCAGAGATGGTGAGATGACGAAGGCAAAGCCATGGCCTTTGGGAATATCAAAGTCAGTGGTAATGGCAAAGACAAAATACGTGGAAAACGAGAGAGATTGAGCTGACCCAGATGAGGAGGACGAGTTGAATCTCACAGGATTTGGGTAGAAAGCATGGCCAGTTTCGCCATCTGAAGTATTGGTTAGCCGCAATAGACCATTGGGGCGAATCACAGCTTGCCCATCGATATAGAGTTTGGAGTCTCGGAAGCCATGGTACATGAACTGGGTATCATCATCTTGAGCTATGGCCAAGAGTTTTGTGAAAATAAGGATGAAGATCAAGAAATTAAGAGACCTTGGAGGGGTAGCCATTACAGAGGTGAGAGAACTTTTTTTCCGATTCTTGAAATATTAAAAGAGTTTCAATTGCCTAACGGTTGATCTGTCACACTATTATTTAATGAAGTCTTACTGACATAGAAAGTCATGATTGACTAGCAAGTGGAACAATGCGGGACCCATTTTTTCTTTTTTCCGTAATATATCAAAAAATAAAATAAAAAATCTCAGCTTTACAGAAAAAAAAAGCAGTTGAATCACAAAAAAAAAAAATAATAATAATAATAAGTGACACTGTATGATCATATCCTAATTCTTAATCTCTTCCTTCTCTAATCTTATAACAGTGTGTAACAAAAAAATAGCTGCGGAGGCAGCCAAAGGGTCAAAATTCGGGGCAAGAAAATAAGCAACTAATCTTTTGAACATGATTTTGCGTGAAGACCAGGATAAGGAGACACATTTGGTCTTTTCTACAATTTCTGAAAATATCATGGGATGGATTTATAAAAATTTTCATCAATTTCTCTAGACACATATATCACGGACTCTATATGGTGACTAAATATAAAATTATATACACTAGATTTCACTTAAATTCACTCTATAATAAACAACTCATTATTTAAATTAAGAAAAAATTTACATTGGAACGGACATGAATCTGGAAGATCAAAAACAGGGTAATATGGTTTTTGGACACAGTTGTCTGATTTATGATTCAGCTGGTCATTCTAACGACTGTTCCGATAAATGTTATATTATATGGTTGGATACAATGATTTACCTTAAAATATAGATAGTGTAAACAAAGTCACTTTGATTTATGAGTAATAACTCAGTATAACAGTACTAAACGAAACTGGGAAGCAATTTACGCGTTACATCAAAAATAAAATATAGGAATCATGTCCTTGGGGCATTGGTCTATTTCTAACTGGTAGGTTCTAGTGGGATTCTCTGTTATGAAAAATTTAGGACTTGGGATGGCTAAAACAAGGAAGACTACGGCGTCACCTCCCATAAGATACCGAAACTTATAATTTTTTAAGTTAGATTATAATTTTTTAAGATGTGAATTATAATCGTAAATGTATGATTAATGCCCTAATAGTAAATATCAATTATAAAAAATTATAAATTTTAAAGATGAAACTCATAAATGAAAAGTTACACCATCTTAAAGTAAGTTATCATCAATCACGTTATTGCATGATCGATCATGAATTATCTTAAATAATTATAATTTCATCTTTTAACTAAATATAACTTTTTATTAAAAAGTGATAATTTTTGATTCGATACTTAATTCTTCTTCTTCTATTTTTTTTTTTTTTGGTGGAACTCGATTATTACCCAAGACAAGATGTTAATCTTATCAGATTATCTTTTAGTATTGCCTACCAAGAGAGACTTTCTAGTTTATATCAGTCTTCCATTTATATATATATATATATATATATATATGAATCTTCTATCACTGCATAATGAATGGATGGAAAACGTATCCTCTGCGTCCACCATTTTTAATCACTCCACAATGGGAGGAAAGTGGACGGAAGGAAGGAAGCTGGTTGAAAGTTATTTGGAATTACCATTTTAGCCTTAAAAAGTGGCAGATTATGAAACACAAATTAGGAGAAAAAAAAAATTGTGGCCCAACTATTTTGTCATTTTTTATGTACAAGTGTACAAAATTAGTGGGTCTCCCATCAAAGTCATTTGTTTCTTACGAGAGCACTTATGGTCATTTTTTGGTCATTTTTTTATTCATTTATCTTCCACTACCATATAAAATAATAAAAAATGACCAATAAAAAATTGACCAAATTATTAATTTTTTGACTTTTTTATTCATTTTTTTTTTAACNAAAAAAAAAAAACATATGGATGAAAGATGGACATTTGTCCATGTGATGCAAGCATAAAGGATGTTACCAAAGTGACGTGAAGGCAAAAAATTTGGCTAGAAATAACCCATTTCGGCAGTGCACAAGGAGAAAATATTTATTGCAACGGTATCACTATATAATCACCATTATTTCGTACCACCATCTAATTAAAAAATAACAAATAGATAAAGTGGATTTTACTAATCTTATGTGTTGTTGATTAGATGTGCTAGTTAATAATAGTTATGAAAATAATAGGACTCACTTTACCTATTTTTAATCTTTTAATTAGATGATAACATCATGTGACAGTGATGACGTGATGTCATTGTTACATTGAATATTTACTTATACACAAGGCAGGGAAAACAAGGAGAGAGAAAAAGAATAAAAACGAAAGAAAGAAGAAAGGGGAAACAAAAAGAGAGAGGGAAAAAAAATAACGAAACCTTAAGTTCAAAATTAGATGGTGATTTTAGTCTCGAATTCTATGAAATTGGTCTATATTGTTCATTAATACAGTGGTGATCAAAGTTATCGGTGTCACTTCGTAGTTTGAGGTATAAGATAGCATATAATATGTTTTTGTCTTCTAAATTTTTTTACCAAGCGTGTTCTACTGTTTATATCAAAGTTTGTATTCTTATTCGTTATTTTTGATTGATACGAAATTTTATGTGTTTTGTTGAGTTTACCTGTATTTTGGACAAAATAAGTTAGAATTAGTTGGTACATACCAAATTTGCTTGTGGTATAGCTTGTGAAATATAAGTGTGGCCCTTCGACGTGTGATTGTTCGGTTTGAGAGTGTAATTGTTCGATATGTTATGGAATTATATGTCTTAGTATCACTTGTCATGTTACTAAAATGAACCGAATATAAAGCTATTTTTAATAGCAGTTGAGCTATGTAATATACTGAAATTGATTCTTGATTTTGTTGTTTATAATTACTATTATTTGAGTTATTTGATATTTGATCATTCGTATTTTTATTTTTGAACATATTANTAATATACTGAAATTGATTCTTAATTTTGTTGTTTATAATTACTATTATTTGAGTTATTTGGTATTTGATCATTCGTATTTTTATTGTTGAACATATTGTTTTCTGCGATATTATATACTTCTCCATTTTTAATATTTTTCAATATGTCTTGTAGGAAAGGACCAAACTTGATTCTTGAGGTATAAGAGATAAATGAAACTCGACTTAATTATTATTAAATTGAAATTGCAAATTCATTAGTCTTTGAAAATCAAAGTTATAACTATAATTTTTATTGAAGTAATTAGAGCTCTAACCCGTATTTTTTGGATATTTAAAGATATAATTATTGGTATATTGTGATCGATTGATCTATCAAATAATACATCCGAAAAACAGAGGTTTACAGCATTATTAGATAATACATAGATCTATGTACTTGGGATCTAATATATTATCCCATTAGTAAATATAAAACCATCTCCAATGAAGGCCAGAACTCTTACCTAAATTTAAGAAAAAAAAAATGGATAAACAATTCAATTTAGTACAGGTCTTTTCAAGGGATAAATCCTTTTTTAACTTAAAATATTTTTTAAAAATTTTCATCTAATCCCAAAAACTCTTTTATTTCATTTTTCCCCCACCAAAACTTGCATCCACATACAATTTCACTCGACAAGAAAATTCAGGGTTTGACAGGCACCACGTGACAATCATACGGTGCCTTTAT